GGAGGAAGTCTCCTTGAGACAAAACCTCATGCCAATGCCTCATTCTAGGCATTATTGGCATTCTTGATTGAGGAGGAACCATCCCCCTATCCTCTTACCTTGCACGACCAAAACCAAGGGAGGAGGTGCTCTGGGAATAGCTCACATCAACAAGGACTTTGGAGGAAGCAAAAGAAAGGGAAATCCAAGAAGAAAAGCTAGAAGAAGAGGTGAGAATACAATTTCTACTCTTTTAACTAGTTTTATCATATATGATTTGTAAGAAATCATATGGTGGATTAAACATGATGTTCAACACGTTTAAAAGTGTAGAATATTGTCATAAAGTGGTGTTAATTAACTTAGAAGGGTTGGCAAATCGATAGGAGTCGAAATCGCCGGGAACCGCCACTCCAAAGGAGCTGTTTGTAGTTGCAGACTACGAAAGCTGCCCGGCTTTCGTGAAAGCCACCCGGCTTTTGTCCAGGCAGTCCAGTTTTGCCTTCTTATCAGTTTAAAACGAGGATTAATCGGGGAGCTTAACAAAAACAACTATTTCAGCACATCATAAGGTGAGGATGACTGACTATATTGCTTATAATTAGTGAGTTAATTTCATGAGATTACCGAAAGTAATTAAATGTGTTTTTATGGATTATTAATGATTAATAATGCCTAAGAATGAAAAGACTAATGTCTAAAGAAAAAAGGAACATGATATGCAAATTTAAGAGTAAATTGTGTATGATCATGTGTTATGAATATGTTGACTTGAAAGTGGAATTAATTATGAAACATATGTTGAAATATACTTTCTCTTCATATTAGAATATATGAGTGATTAAAAGTGATATTTTGAATATTGAGATAAATGACATTTTCAAAGGAAAATCAGTTGGAATTGTCTATATGACTATGAGTTGAGAACTTGGATTATTGGTATGAATTTGACTAGTTTTAAGATACTAGTTGGACATTAAAATGAAATGTTGTTAAGATTGATCCTAAGATTAGATTGTGAAATGTTATGCCTTAAGTAGTCTTAAGAGATGCTTTAAGGTAGGAAAGTATGAACTTTAAGTTATACTAGGGGTAGGCCTTAAGGGATACCCAAGATAAGGTACATAATAATTTGATCCTAGGTATAGGATTGGCCCACGGGTGTGTTCGGTAGTCCTTGAGTGTAACACCGCCCCCGAGTATTTGTACTGTACCAAATTATGTATTGAACCTTGAGAAATGTATAAAAGCATTTTTTACGTGATTGTAAATTTTTATCATTTCTATTACGTGAATAGTAAAATTCACGTGGGGCCCACACCGGATGTGGGGCCGCCCAATATTATCGGGACCACATATTATATTAATCTTGGACTAGATAATATGTATATGGTGGTGGATATCCTAATTGGGCCATGACAATGGCACAAGGTTGACCGGTTGGTTAAACGGGCCAAATTATCGGTATCGGCAATTTATCAGATAACAGTCCAAAAAGGGATTCCGAGAACCTATAAATTGAAGTTGGGGATTTCATAATGATTCTAAGGCCCAATAAGGATTGGGAACGAGTGTTATATTTTATTTGACCCGATAAAATAAAATATACTTAAAACAGTCCGGAAAATACAACTTTCGGGACCGGTTGTACACTCGAGTACACAAAGGGTTGACCTCCCACATGAGTGGGGGCCAACCCACGTCCTTGGTCTGCAAATGAATAAGGGGAGCCGCACAAGGAAAATAGAGGAGGGAACCTGAAGTGATTGGGGAGCAAACAATAAAATGAATGGGACCTATCCCATGCCATTATTGAGAGAAATGCCAAAAAGGCATTCCAATCATCCCATCTCACAACACTTCGTCCAAGCCAGAACCATTGAGGATAGAAGGTCAGGAAAAACTCCATTTTCATCCATCAAACACGCACCAAGTTAAGGGAGGAAGAAGAAAGGAAAAAGAGAAGAGAAAAGAGGAGTTTAGGTGGGAAAACTTGTGTTTAACAAGGTAATGACTCCATTAATCCCATTTCTTGTTCTTTAATCCTATTATATGATTATTCAATCATATTTCACACCCTATGATTGTTCTACACGTTGGGATGTGTAGAAAGAGGGGTTGGAAGGTAGTTCTAAGTCCAAGAACGGACTTAGAAGCCAAAGTGATCGGTTCGCCGGATAATAACCTTTTGGAGGTTATTTGTATTGCTATGGGTTTTATGATGATAAAACCTTGTTAGTAACTTGTCTAAGGTATTCAAGGAACTTTCACGGAGTTGAAAAGGTCGCCGGAGTTGTCGCCGGAGTTCGTTGAAGTTCGCCGGAGTTTCGCCGGAGCCAAATCGGGAAGGCTAGAACTTCATAAGCTTCATTAAGGTGAGAAGACGGCTTTATGCTTTAAAACTTTTGCGTGAGGCATGAGATTACCTAAAGTAATCAGGAATATGTTTTGTGGAATGATTAAAGATAACCAAGTGTGTGTTTATGCCATGATTATACACAAAACATAGTTAAAAGGCATGTTATGTAGGTTTGGTGATTAAAAATGTGATAACATATTTTGTGTGATGATCCAGGGATCCAAAATGGTATTTTTGGATCAAGGACATCAAGAAGTATATGTGTATAAAATTTCAAGTTAATCGGACTCCGTTTGGGGGGTCAAAAGGGGCGTTCACCGCCAAGTCAACTGCCATACCCGATCGGGTATTGACACATACCCGACCGGGTATTTGTTGAAAATCAGCTTTGTGGACTACTGTCTCCTGTACTCGACCGAGTATGGGTTAATACTCGATCGAGTATTGGGTTATGCTCAAAACGGGCAGTTTTGAGTAGGTTAACGTGGGCCGTTCGGGTGAGACCCGCCCACATTGGATCCTAAGGATTGTTATATGACTATAGGGCTAGGAATTGTCCATAGTTAAAGGAATGAAAGGTTAGCCATATCCAGGTTAGGATTTGGTAGAGAATAGACTGGGGATTGAGTGCCCTTGGACGGTAAATGATCCAGAATACTCCAGGTGGGGTCGAGTACCCTTGGACGGTAAATGATCCAGAATACTCCAGGTGGGGTCGAGTACCCTTGGACGGTAAATGATCCAGAATACTCCAGGTGGGGTCGAGTACCCTTGGACGGTAAATGATCCAGAATACTCCAGGTGGGGTCGAGTACCCTTGGACGGTAAATGATCCAGAATACTCCAGGTGGGGCCGAGTACCCTTGGACGGTAAATGATCTTAAATACTCCAGGATGGGTTGAGTGCCTTGGACGGTAAATGATCCTAAAACACTCGGTAGTATGAATCGAAGTAGACTATAGCTTGTGAGCTAGGCAACCGGGAAAGGAGTGAGAAAAGTCAGGCAAGGACTTTATCTCTAAAAGACTCTTTAAGGTAAATGACCTACGGGTTGAGTATTTTACGAGTATATATACAGTATGTATCATCGGGTGGATGAGGGACATCTATATGTATACATCACCCTATTTTTGGGTCTCGTGTCTGAAACATTAGTTATTCTTCATATAGCCTGCTTGTCACTAGTACTTCTATGGAGTACTGACCCCTCCGGGGGCCCTCACATTTTTCAGGTTGAGGCTAGGGTCCTACTACCTGCACCTTTGCCTAGGGTGACTGATCGAGAAGGAAGACGTGGTTCGTGCTTCAATTCTTATTTCAAATGTATAAACCGCTCATGGATTTTTGAACAATATTTTCATTAAAACAGTTGGGGGCCCGCGTGCCCGTGTTTGCCACGTGTGGCTAAGTATCAACCATTTTATTATTTTCCGCATTCGATTGATTATGATATTGATGTTGATTGTATGTGTTTACTAATCGGTTTGGCAATAGAATAAATCGGACGCCTTGTACAACTCAATAGGGATGAACTGTTGTTGTTCTTATCGGGTTGTACGGCGGTTGTCTACGTGGCTCGGATGCGGTCCGGGGCGTGACAATTAAGTGGTATCAGAGCCATCGATTTCTAAACTATATAATTAACCTCTCAATATGGTTATCCTCAAAAAAGTTTTGAATAAAACCATGAGCAACAGTTTTTGTACTTAAGGAACCGTCGGAAACCAAGTTATTGACCTCTTATTGTTAAGACGGTACCCTTAACAGTTTGTTGGCCATAATGTTGGACCAAGTGGTGTCTTTTGTACTACTCCGTCAATTGACATTGAAACGAGTCTAATGACTCATTCCTTATTTCTTTCAGAAATGGAGGGTGGACGCAGGATAACTAGGAGGAACCCGACAGGGCATGTGCCGGGGGCCACCGGGCATGCCACTCGGGCGGAATCACGGACCTCTAGGGGTAGAGGCCGGGGCCAAAGCCGAGGAGGAGGCCGAGGCAGGGGTCGTGGGTGTTCTACCACGCCGACGACAAGTAGCACACGCGTCGGTTCCGTGCACCCGTCATGGGCCACCGAACCGGACGACTTCACCTATGCTCCAAGCACGGAGCAAGAGGAGACCCCGTACAACGGGGAGGACTTTGAGGAAGAAGATGAGGATGATGATCCTCATTATGACCGTATGAGTGAGGTACTAGAATGGTACCTCGAGAATAAGGCAAAGAGAGAACAGCGGCGCCAAGCTAGACAGGCTAGGCAGACCATGGGGCAAGGAAGCCGAGGTGCTTCTAGTGCTCCATCGGGGGCATTTGGAGGAGACACGATGGTGCGTATCTCCAAGTACCTCAAGGAGGCCAGGGCCTTGGGGTGCAAATCATTTGATGGCAAGGGCGACATATCTGAGGCCGCCGACTGGATTAAGAAGCTGAATGATGCTTCTAGGGACATGCAAATTTCACTCGACGTGAAGTTGAGGGTGGCCACCAGGTTACTAGAAGGGGTAGCCGCTGTATGGTGGGAAGGCGTGGAGGGAAAGTTCCACGGTGAAGCCACTTGGGAGAAATTCGAAGTGGAATTCTATAATCAGTACTACTCAACTTTTGAAGTTAATCTCAAAAGAAGAGAGTACACGAACCTGAAACAGGAGGATGGTTGCTCGGTGAGGCAATTGGAACAAAGGTTCCGTGACTTGGCACGATTCATCCCAGAATACTCATTGGATGAAAATCGTATGGCCAATCACTTTTGGGATGCTCTACAGTTGGACATCCGTGACCGGGCTACTTACCATCACAGTATGACATTTAGTCAAATCGTTGATCAGGGGCTCCTCGGGGAAGCCCAATGGAACGAGAGGAAGTTGAGGGACGCCGAGGAGGCGAAGAAAGGAATATGGGGAAACGCTGGACCCCAAGACCACTCCCGGAAGCATCATGCTGGGGGTGGCAGTTCATTCAGGGCGCCGGCACCACCGGCGAAAAGGAATAAAGGCTCAGGAGGGCAAGGGGCCAAACCAGGGAGTACATGGTCACCGAGGTGTGCAAACTGCGGCAAGAATCATGCGGGGAAGTGCAATGAACCACCCCGGTGTTACAAATGCGGTAGCACGAGCCACCTCAAATCCTCTTGTCCAATGCTGAACGGGGGAGGACCATCGGGAGCCATGGGAGGACCTACGACTAGTAGGGGACGTGCGGGGCCGTCTCAGACCGGCACGGGAAGGAGCGGACCCACGGCTAGCAATGCCGCGTCCGTTAACCAAGGGAGGACCCAAGCACGGGTGTATGCAATGACCGAGGCTGATGCTCGAGCCAACCCGGACTCCATTGCAGGTAATCTCTTGATTTCACACGTATTTGATCATGTAATGGGTTGAAAAAATCTTCAAAAATATGAAAGACCCGATCGGGTACTCCTATATACCCGACCGGGTATAAGCTATGCTTCGAGTTTGAAGTGTGCACCCGTTCGGGTAGCCAAGGCAGGATGCCTTTTTTTTGACATTTCGAGCAATACCCGATCGGGTATGGCTATATACCCGACCGGGTATGTGTAGATTTTGAACTTCGAAGTGTGTACTCGATCGAGCGTAGAAGACAGGGAGCTTTTATTTGTGGATTTTGAGTGATACCCGACCGGGTATAGTATATACCCGACCGGGTATTGATATTTTGCCCGAATTCGAGGCTGGTACTCGACCGAGCAAGGAAAACAGGGGGGGGGGGGGTTCCCCTTAAGAATTCGAGAGATACCCGATCGGGTAGCAGACCCTACCCGACCGGGTATAGGGTAATTCTAGGCTGAAATTTTTCCGTCCGGTCCTTTTCTGTCGGGACGACGACTAGGGTGTCTTACATGACTTATATATGTAGGAACACTAAAGATCAACGATAGGGATGCGAGAATTCTCATCGATACCGGGGCACAACGTTCGTTTGTGAGCGAAGCGTTTGCCAAGGGATTGAACATGCCTTTGGTAGCCATGATGCAACCTTTGCTGGTCTCTACGCCATTGGGAGATGATGTAGAGCGGAAACACTACTATCCCTCGTGTAACGTAGGGATAGGGGGGCACTGTCTAACGGGTGACCTTGTGCCGTTAGATATGCTCGAGTTTGATGCTATACTTGGCATGGATTGGCTCGAAAAACACCATGCGAAGGTAGATTGCTACACCAAGGTGTTAGAACTAAAGGATGGAGAAGGAAACACTCTATGCTTCGAGGGAGATAGAGGGAAATTCAACCCTTGTATCATATCGGCCATAAGAGCAAGGCGTATGATGAGGAAAGGGTGTCAAACATACTTGGCCTATGTCATAGGCAAGGAGGGCAAGGAGAAGAGTCTCACTGAGGTGAGAGTGGTGAGTGAGTACCCAGAAGTTTTCCCTGAAGAACTCCCGGGACTCCCACCAGATCGAGAAATTGAGTTCACCATTGAGGTAGAACCCGGTACAAAACCCATCTCGATTCCTCCATATCGGATGGCACCGGCTGAACTTCAAGAGTTGAAGGTGCAATTGGAAGAATTGCTGGACAGCGGATTCATCAGGCCGAGTCATTCACCATGGGGAGCACCGGTACTATTTGTAAAGAAGAAGGATGGTACACTCAGAATGTGTATCGACTACCGTCAGTTGAACAAGGTCACGATAAAGAACAAATATCCTTTGCCAAGGATCGATGACTTGTTTGATCAACTACGGGGGGCAACGGTGTTCTCTAAGATTGACTTGAGGTCAGGCTACCATCAACTAAAGATCAAGGAGGGTGACATACCCAAAAGTGCATTCCGTACGAGGTATGGTCACTATGAGTTTCTAGTAATGTCGTTTGGGCTTACGAACGCCCCCGCGGCATTCATGGACCTCATGAACCGAGTATTTCACCAATACTTAGACCAGTTCGTCATAGTGTTCATTGATGACATTTTGATATACTCCATGAATGAAGAGGAACACGAAAAACATCTAAGGCTTGTGCCTGAAACACTGCGGGAGAAGCAACTCTTTGCCAAATTCTCTAAATGCGAATTTTGGCTTGGGGAGATCGGTTTTCTCGGGCATGTGGTATCGGGATCGGGCATTTCAGTTGATAACTCCAAGATTGAGGCGGTCACTAATTGGGAGAGGCCCAAGAACGTGAAGGAGATAAGGAGTTTCCTCGGTTTAGCGGGGTATTACCGCAAATTCGTGGAAAAGTTCTCGGTGATAGCATCCCCACTCACGAAGCTCACTAAAAAGGGGGCTAAGTTTGTGTGGGATGACAAGTGTGAGAAGGGGTTTCTTGAGCTAAAGAAACGTTTGACCGAAGCACCAGTGCTTGCCTTGCCCGTGCAAGGGTTAGGGTATGACATCTACAGCGATGCTAGCATTCAGGGACTGGGATGTGTACTGATGCAATCAGGGAAGGTAATTGCTTATGCTTCTCGGCAGTTGAGGAAGCATGAAGTAAACTACCCCACACATGATCTGGAGCTAGGTGCTGTGGTATTTGCATTGAAGATTTGGAGGCACTACCTCTACGGGGAGTTGTGTCACATTTACACCGACCACAAGAGCCTGAAGTATGTGTTCACTCAGAAAGAGTTGAACATGAGACAGAGGAGATGGATGGAGTTGATTAAGGATTACAACTTGATCATTGACTATCATCCAGGCAAGGCTAATGTTGTAGCTGATGCACTGAGCAGGAAGAGCTCATCATCAGGGGTTTTACTCACATGCTTACGGGCACTGAGGGCACGCGTGGAGGTATCCACGGGTGGGGCGCTATTGGCCAGATTTGAGGTGAGACCCACCTTATTAGATGAAATCAGAACATGTCAAGGCAATGACGAGGAATTTCAGAAAATCCGGGAACGGATGCTTGTGGGGCCCGTCGAGGGTTTCCGTGAGAGGGAAGATGGACTTCTACTATTCATCGGATGAGGAGCTCCGAAAATCTATCCTTGAGGAGGCTCACTCATCTGCGTATGCCATGCACCCGGGCGGTACAAAGATGTACCGGGACTTGAAGGAAAGCTACTGGTGGTCGGGGATGAAGAGAGAAATTGCAGAATACGTGAGCCGTTGCCTTACTTGTCAACAGGTTAAGGCAGAGCACCAACACCCGGCAGGGTTACTACAACCACTTACCATTCCAGAATGGAAGTGGGAGCATGTTACCATGGACTTCGTGGTGGGTCTACCACGGACGGTTAGGAACTACGACGCGGTATGGGTGGTAGTCGATAGGCTGACCAAGAGCGCTCATTTCTTACCTATCAACACTACCTATACGCTCGAGCGGTTGGCCAAATTGTACACAGATGAGATTGTGAGACTACATGGGGTTCCGGTTACTATAGTATCGGATAGGGACCCACGGTTCACATCACGGTTTTGGCCTAAGTTCCAGGAATCCATGGGTACGAAATTGAGGTTTAGCACCGCGTTTCATCCTCAAACGGATGGGCAATCTGAACGGGTGATTCAGATCTTGGAGGACATGTTAAGGGCATGTGCCTTGGAGTTCCAGGGGAGCTGGGACAATCAGTTGGCTTTAGTAGAATTCGCCTATAACAACAGTTATCAGGCAAGTATAGGCATGCCCCCATACGAAGCATTGTATGGGAGGAAATGCAGGACACCATTGTGTTGGGACGAGGTCGGCGAGGCTAAGCTTGAGGGCACCGAGTTAGTCGAGATCACTAAGGAGAAGATAAAGGTCATACAGGATAGGCTCAAGGCTGCCCAAGATCGACAGAAGAGCTATGCTGATAAACGTCGAAGGACGTTGGAGTTTGAGGTTGGTGACGAGGTATTTCTGAGGGTATCACCTTGGAAAGGGATCATCAGGTTCCTCAGTCGGGGTAAGCTTAACCCACGTTACATAGGCCCGTTCAAAATCCTTGAAAGGATTGGGGTTGTAGCTTACCGACTTCAGTTGACTCCAGAGTTAGAAAAGATTCATAATGTATTTCATGTTTCTATGCTCAAGAAGTATGTGCGGGACCCGTCACATATTCTTGAGAAACCACCGGTGGAAATCCGAGAGGACCTACATTATTCATGCCTAAGAATGAAAAGACTAATGTCTAAAGAAAAAAGGAACATGATATGCAAATTTAAGAGTAAATTGTGTATGATCATGTGTTATGAATATGTTGACTTGAAAGTGGAATTAATTATGAAACATATGTTGAAATATACTTTCTCTTCATATTAGAATATATGAGTGATTAAAAGTGATATTTTGAATATTGAGATAAATGACATTTTCAAAGGAAAATCAGTTGGAATTGTCTATATGACTATGAGTTGAGAACTTGGATTATTGGTATGAATTTGACTAGTTTTAAGATACTAGTTGGACATTAAAATGAAATGTTGTTAAGATTGATCCTAAGATTAGATTGTGAAATGTTATGCCTTAAGTAGTCTTAAGAGATGCTTTAAGGTAGGAAAGTATGAACTTTAAGTTATACTAGGGGTAGGCCTTAAGGGATACCCAAGATAAGGTACATAATAATTTGATCCTAGGTATAGGATTGGCCCACGGGTGTGTTCGGTAGTCCTTGAGTGTAACACCGCCCCCGAGTATTTGTACTGTACCAAATTATGTATTGAACCTTGAGAAATGTATAAAAGCATTTTTTACGTGATTGTAAATTTTTATCATTTCTATTACGTGAATAGTAAAATTCACGTGGGGCCCACACCGGATGTGGGGCCGCCCAATATTATCGGGACCACATGTTATATTAATCTTGGACTAGATAATATGTATATGGTGGTGGATATCCTAATTGGGCCATGACAATGGCACAAGGTTGACCGGTTGGTCAAACGGGCCAAATTATCGGTATCGGCAATTTATCAGATAACAGTCCAAAAAGGGATTCCGAGAACCTATAAATTGAAGTTGGGGATTTCATAATGATTCTAAGGCCCAATAAGGATTGGGAACGAGTGTTATATTTTATTTGACCCGATAAAATAAAATATACTTAAAACAGTCCGGAAAATACAACTTTCGGGACTGGTTGTACACTCGAGTACACAAAGGGTTGACCTCCCACATGAGTGGGGGCCAACCCACGTCCTTGGTCTGCAAATGAATAAGGGGAGCCGCACAAGGAAAATAGAGGAGGGAACCTGAAGTGATTGGGGAGCAAACAATAAAATGAATGGGACCTATCCCATGCCATTATTGAGAGAAATGCCAAAAAGGCATTCCAATCATCCCATCTCACAACACTTCGTCCAAGCCAGAACCACTGAGGATAGAAGGTCAGGAAAAACTCCATTTTCATCCATCAAACACGCACCAAGTTAAGGGAGGAAGAAGAGAGGAAAAAGAGAAGAGAAAAGAGGAGTTTAGGTGGGAAAACTTGTGTTTAACAAAGTAATGACTCCATTAATCCCATTTCTTGTTCTTTAATCCTCTTATATGATTATTCAATCATATTTCACACCCTAGGATTGTTCTACACGTTGGGATGTGTAGAAAGAGGGGTTGGAAGGTAGTTCTAAGTCCAAGAACGGACTTAGAAGCCAAAGTGACCGGTTCGCCGGAAAATAGCCTTTTGGAGGTTATTTGTATTGCTATGGGTTTTATGATGATAAAACCTTGTTAGTAACTTGTCTAAGGTATTCAAGGAACTTTCACGGAGTTGAAAAGGTCGCCGGAGTTGTCGCCGGAGTTCGTTGAAGTTCGCCGGAGTTTCGTCGGAGCCAAATCGGGAAGGCTAGAACTTCATAAGCTTCATTAAGGTGAGAAGACGGCTTTATGCTTTATAACTTTTGCGTGAGGCATGAGATTACCTAAAGTAATCAGGAATATGTTTTGTGGAATGATTAAAGATAACCAAGTGTGTGTTTATGCCATGATTATACACAAAACATAGTTAAAAAGCATGTTATGTAGGTTTGATGATTAAAAATGTGATAACATATTTTGTGTGATGATCCAGGGATCCAAAATGGTATTTTTGGATCAAGGACATCAAGAAGTATATGTGTATAAAATTTCAAGTTAATCGGACTCCGTTTGGGAGGTCAAAAGGGGCGTTGACCGCCAAGTCAACTGCCATACCCGATCGGGTATTGACACATACCCGACCGGGTATTTGTTGAAAATCAGCTTTGTGGACTACTGTCTCCTGTACTCGACCGAGTATGGGTTAATACTCGATCGAGTATTGGGTTATGCTCAAAACGGGCAGTTTTGAGTAGGTTAACGTGGGCCGTTCGGGTGAGACCCGCCCACATTGGATCCTAAGGATTGTTATATGACTATAGGGCTAGGAATTGTCCATAGTTAAAGGAATGAAAGGTTAGCCATATCCAGGTTAGGATTTGGTAGAGAATAGACTGGGGATTGAGTGCCCTTGGACGGTAAATGATCCAGAATACTCCAGGTGGGGTCGAGTACCCTTGGACGGTAAATGATCCAGAATACTCCAGGTGGGGTCGAGTACCCTTGGACGGTAAATGATCCAGAATACTCCAGGTGGGGTCGAGTACCCTTGGACGGTAAATGATCCAGAATACTCCAGGTGGGGTCGAGTACCCTTGGACGGTAAATGATCCAGAATACTCCAGGTGGGGCCGAGTACCCTTGGACGGTAAATGATCTTAAATACTCCAGGATGGGTTGAGTGCCTTGGACGGTAAATGATCCTAAAACACTCGGTAGTATGAATCGAAGTAGACTATAGCTTGTGAGCTAGGCAACCGGGAAAGGAGTGAGAAAAGTCAGGCAAGGACTTTATCTCTAAAAGACTCTTTAAGGTAAATGACCTACGGGTTGAGTATTTTACGAGTATATATACAGTATGTATCATCGGGTGGATGAGGGACATCTATATGTATACATCACCCTATTTTTGGGTCTCGTGTCTGAAACATTAGTTATTCTTCATATAGCCTGCTTGTCACTAGTACTTCTATGGAGTACTGACCCCTCCGGGGGCCCTCACATTTTTCAGGTTGAGGCTAGGGTCCTACTACCTGCACCTTTGCCTAGGGTGACTGATCAAGAAGGAAGACGTGGTTCGTGCTTCCATTCTTATTTCAAATGTATAAACCGCTCATGGATTTTTGAACAATATTTTCATTAAAACAGTTGGGGGCCTGCGTGCCCGTGTTTGCCACGTGTGGCTAAGTATCAACCATTTTATTATTTTCCGCATTCGATTGATTATGATATTGATGTTGATTGTATGTGTTTACTAATCGGTTTGGCAATAGAATAAATCGGACGCCTTGTACAACTCAATAGGGATGAACTGTTGTTGTTCTTATCGGGTTGTACGGCGGTTGTCTACGTGGCTCGGATGCGGTCCGGGGCGTGACATTGAGGATAGCCGGTTGAATTATGGAAATAAGTAAGGACCATGGCCCTTCCCGACTCTAGAGAGCGGGGTTGGATAGCATGGACTTGCATCGTGATCACGGGTTAGGGTGGAATCCGAATCGGAGACCTAACTAGGTTCCGGTAGCGGTAACACATAAGATAGGACCCCAAAGGGCCTTATTTTCCTACGGGATGATGGGTATGAGTCCAGGGGCGGGATGTTGGAGTCCGAACCAGGAGCCTCATGAGGTCTCGAACAGCGGTAGCAAGTCCCGTAGAAATAATAAGACCCAAGGGCTGGGTTGTGCAAATGATAAATGAAAAGGAATATATAAGAAGGGCCGTGTGCCGACAAATAAATGAATTTACTTATTATAAAGATAATAAGTGGGAAATATAAATTATTATTTATATTATGATATCACCCTATTTTGAGGGTCTTGGAAATTAAAACGTTGATTATACTTAGTATAGTTGCTATTGTACTTGTCAAATGCTTCCAAGTACTGACCTCCCCTTCACGGGGGAGGCCACCTCACAGTTTCAGGTAGAACTTGAAGGTTGCTACCATTGCCCGTTGCTTTGGGAGGATCAAGGGAAGAAGACGTGGTTCGTGCTTCTTCCGTTCTGTTTTAAAAACAATTACGTTAATGCTCATGGATACTATTTTCTGAATAATTACTTTGGGGGCTTGTATGCCTAGTTATGCCAAGTGTGACTTGAACAATTGTACTAATGCTTCCGCTGTTTTAAATGCATTTTTTACATTATGTTTGTTTATGGATGTACTATGTGTGAATGATATTCATGACGCCTTGTATAGTATGGATGAGTTGGACTGCGGTTGACTATTCGTACTGTACGGCGGGTTGTTGACGTGTCCGGCTAGGTCCGGGGCGTGACAGGACCTCTCAAATGAGGGGATAAGGAGACTCCCCTCCCTTATCTTCTATTTTTAGAAAGTTGGGTCATTTTAGTTGGGTTGGGTTCATGGGCTGCCCCTTTTTAATTTATTACAACCCAATGTATTATTTATGCTTCCCTCCATAATATTTGGACTCTATATTGTATGGGCTACCCTCAATTAAAGTGTAGGAAGCCCTCCACTCTTATTCCTGCTATTTTTGGTAATTTGGGCTCGAATGCCACTTCGGTTACTCAGTCTATTTTGGTCCTGCCCAAATGACTTTTATTCATTTATTTATACTATTTTTGTCTAGTAGACCTTAATAGGTCGATGTTAAAATGTATTGGATATTTGTTACGCCCCGGACCGCATCCGGGCCACGTAGACAACCACCGTACAACCCGATAAGAACAACAACAGTTCACCCTATTGAATTGTACAAGGCGTCCGATTGATTCTATTGCCAAACCGATTAGTAAACACATACAATCAACATCAATATCATAATCAACAAATGCGGAAATAATAATATGTTTAATACTTAGCCACACGTGGAAAACACGGACACGCAGGCCCCCAACTGTTTTAAAGAAAACATTATTCGAAAATCCATGAGCAGTTTATAAATTTGAAATAAGAATGGAAGCACAAACCACGTCTTCCTTCTTGATCAATCACCCTAGGCAAAGGTGCAGGTAGTAGGACTCTAGCCTTAACCTAAAAAATGTGAGGGCCCCCGAAGGGGTCAGTACTCCATGTACTAGTAACAAACAGGCTATATGAAGAATAACTAATGTTTCAGACACGAGACCCAAAAATAGGGTGATATATATATATATATATATATATATATATATATATATGTGTGTGTGTGTGTGTGTGTGTGTGTGTGTGTGTGTGTGTGTGTGTGTGTGTGTGACTCATCCACCCGATGATACATACTGTATATATATTTGTAAAATACTCGACCCGTAGGTCATTTCATTCAAAGAGTCTTTCAGAGATAAAGTTCTTACATGACCTTTCTCACTCCTTTCCAGAATGCCTAGCTCACAAGCTACATTCTACATTCAAAATATCCTACCGAGTTTTGGGAGCATTTAGCATCCCGGGGATACTCAACCCCAACCGAGTTTCAGGATCATTTACCGTCCCGGGGATACTCAACCCCAACCGAGTTTCAGGATCATTTGCAATCTCGGGGATGCTCAACCCCAACCGAGTTTCAGGATCATATCAGTCCCGGGGATGCTCAACCCCAACCGAGTTTCAGGATCATTTATAGTCCCGATGATGCTCAACCCCAACCGAGTTTCAGGATCATTTATAGTCCCGGGGATGCTCAACCCCAACCGAGTTTCAGGATCATTTAACGTCTCGGGGATACTCAACCCCAACTTAATCCTTACCAAACCCTAACCTGGATATGGATAACCTTTCGTTCCTTTAACTATGGACAATACCTAGCCCTATAGTCATATAACCATCCTTAGGAACCAATGTGGGCGGGTCCCACCTGAATGGCCCACATTAACCTGCTCAAAACTGCCCATTTTGAGCATAACCCAATACTCGATCGAGTATCTACCCATACTCGGTCGAGTACAGGAGACAGTAGCCCACAAAGCAAATTTTCAATGTATACTCGATCAAGTATCTACCCATACTCGATCGGGTATAGGAGGCAGTAGCCCCCTAGGGTATGGCAGTTGACTTGTCGGGTATGCGTCAATACCCGGTCGGGTATGGAAGTTGACTTGGCGGTCAACGCCTGTTTGACCACCCAAACGGAGTCCGATTAACGTGAAATTTTATACACATATACTTCTTGACGTCCTTGATCCAAAAATACCATTTTGGATCCCTGGAACATCACACATAATAAGTTATCACATTTTTCAGCACCAAACCTACATAACATGTTTTTCAACTATGTTTTATGTAATATCATGGCATAAGCAAACACTTGGTTATCTTTAATCATTCCACAAAACATATCCTTTATTACTTTAGGTAATCTCATGCCTCACTCAAAAGTTATAAAGCATAAATCCGTCTTCTCACCTTAATGAAGCTTATGAAGTTCTAGCCTTCTCGATTTAGCTCCGGCGAAACTCCGGCGAACTTCAACGAACTCCGGCGACAACTCCGTCGACCCTTTCAACTCCGTGAAAGTTTCTTGAATAACTTAAACAAGTTACTAACAAGGTTTTATCATCATAAAACCCATAGTAATACAAATAACCTCAAAAAGGTTATTTTCCGGCGAACCGGTCACTTTGGCTTCTAAGTCCGTTCTTGGACTTAGAACTACCTTCCAACCCCTCATTCTACTTCTCTAAACATGTAGAACAATTCTAGGGGTCCTCCATATAACATATAAATTATATGGTAGTTAAAGAGTAGAGGAAGAGTTAAAATGAGGTCATTACCTTAACCACCCTACTTTTTCCTTCCTTCTTCTTCTTTAAATTTCTGACTTTGACCTCCTTGGACTTAGCTCGGATTTGGCTATGGGAGAATGGGGTTTCAGAGCTTCCTTTCTTCCTTTCCTTGGTATTGGCCGAGTTAGTTGGAGAGGGATGGGTAGGAATACACTTTTTGGCTCATTTGAGCAATGAGTGATGGGAAGGCCCCCCATGTTTTGTATGATGCCAATCATCTCAAACCAACTTCCTCCCACCTACATCCATTTTCCACGCCTCCCAGCTCACTTTGATGAGGTATACTCGTGGGTTGGCCCCCACTTATGTGGGAGGTCAACCCTTTGTGTCCCCGAGTGTACAATCGGCCCCAAAAGTTGTATTTTCCGGACTGCTTTAACTATATTTTATTTTATCGGGTCAAATAAAATATAAAACTTGTTCCCAATCCTTATTGGAACTTAGAATCAATATGCATTCTCCAATTTTAATTTAGAATTCTCCGAAATCCCTTTTTGGGCTGTTATCTGATAAATTGTGGATACTGATAATTTGGCCCCGTTTGACCAACATGTCAACCCTGTGCCATTGCCATGGGCCCATGGCCCAATTAGAATATCCACCACCATATACATATTATCTAGTCCAAGATTAATATAATATGTGGTCTCGATAATATCGGGCGGCCCCACATCCGGTGTGGGCCCCACGTGAATTTTACTATTCACGTAAAAGAAATGATAAGAATTTACAATCACGTAAAAAATGCTTTTATACATTTCTCAGGGTTCAATACATAATTTGATAAAGTACAAATACTTGGGGACGGTGTTACAAGTTCTACCCCCCTTATTTGGGATTTCGTCCTCGAAATCCACGCGTCTAGTCGAACAGAAATGGATATTGTTCCCTCATTAGGGTCTCCACTTCCCAAGTTTGCTCCTCGACACGATCACTCTTCCAAAGTACCTTTACCATCGGCACCTCTTTGCTCCTTAGCTTCTTCACCTGTCGGTCCATAATCTTTACCGGCTGCACCGTATAGTGTAGGTCTTCTCGGATTTCTACCAGTGGTTTCTCAAGAATGTGTGACGGGTCCCGCACATACTTCTTGAGCATAGAAACATGAAACACATTGTGAATCTTCTCTAACTCTGGAGTCAACTGAAGTCGGTAGGCTACGACCCCGATCCTTTCAAGGATTTTGAACGGACCTATGTAACGTGGGTTAAGCATACCCCGACTGAGGAACCTGATGATCCCTTTCCAAGGTGATACCCTCAGAAATACCTCGTCACTGACCTCAAACTCCAACGTCCTCCGACGTTTATCAGCATAGCTCTTATGCCGGTCTTGGGCAGCCTTGAGCCTATCCTGTATGACTTTTATGTTCTCTTTAGTGATCTCGACTAGCTCGGTGCCCTCGAGCTTAGCCTCACCGACCTCGTCCCAACACAATGGTGTCCGGCATTTCCTCCCATACAATGCTTCATATGGAGGCATGCCTATACTCGCCTGATAACTGTTGTTATAGGCGAATTCCACTAAGGCCAACTGATTGTCCCAGCTTCCTTGGAACTCCAAGGCACATGCCCTCAACATGTCCTCCAAAATCTGAATCACCCGTTCAGATTGCCCATCCGTTTGAGGATGAAATGCGGTGCTAAACCTCAATTTCGTACCCATGGATTCCTGGAACTTAGGCCAAAACCGTGATGTGAACCGCAGGTCTCTATCTGATATTATAGTAACCGGAACCCCATGCAGCCTCACAATGTCATCTGTGTATAATTTGGCCAATCGATCGAGCGTATAGGTAGTGTTGACAGGTAGAAAATGAGCACTCTTGGTCAGCCTATCAACCACCACCCATACTACGTCGTAGTTCCTAACCGTCCGTGGCAGACCCACCACGAAGTCCATGGTAACATGCTCCCACTTCCATTCTGGAATGGTAAGTGGTTGTAGTAACCCTGCTGGGTGTTGGTGCTCTGCCTTAACCTGTTGACATGTAAGGCAACGACTCACGTATTTTGCAATCTCTCTCTTCATCCCCGACCACCAGTAACTTTCTTTCAAATCCCGGTACATCTTTGTACCGCCCCGGGTGCATGGCATACACAGATGAGTGAGCCTCCTCAAGGATAGATTTTCAGAGCTTCTCATCTGATGGCACACACACTCGTTCCTTGAATAGTAGAAGTCCATCTTCTCTCTCACGGAAATCCTCGACGGGCCCCACAAGCATCCATTCCTGGATTTTCTGAAATTCCTCGTCATTGCCTTGACATGGTCTGATTTCATCTAATAAGGTGGGTCTCACCTCAAATCTGGCCAATAACGCCCCATCCGTGGATACCTCCACGCGTGTCCTCAATGCCCGTAAGCATGTGAGTAAAACCCCCGATGATGAGCTCTTCCTGCTCAATGCATCGGCTACTACATTAGCCTTGCCTGGATAATAGTCAATGATCAAGTTATAATCTTTGATCAACTCCATCCATCTTCTCGGTCTCATCTTCAACTCTTTCTGAGTGAACACATGCT